TACTGAAGGAAAGCAGAGTGGGGTGCTGGGGGGCTCGGCCTTCTGAAAGGGGCCTGGAATTAAATTTGGAAGACAAACGCATGACAAACACCTTGGATTCTAGGCTACCGGCAGTTTCTATGGCCACAGCCTTCCTTTCTTATCTAGGGTGGCGACAATAGCAGCAGTGACCTTTCTCAGGAGCTTGCTACTTCATGGTATCATTACCACCACCCAGAGGCGGGCGTCCTACCATCCTGTTTTATAGCTGAGGCAACTGAGACCTTAAGAGGGTGAGTAACCTAGCTGAAGTCAATCAGCTGGAAGAAGTTGGAGGTGAGGCGTGAACTCAGCTGAAATTAAATCTATAAATAACTGCTGCTTTCAGAAGTGAAACCGTCTCCACAGATTCTGGGGAAATGCTCAATTGTCCTGGAGAGCAGCCCACATTCAGGCAGGGTCTGTCTGTCTGTCTGTCTGTCTGCCTGCCTGCCTGCCTGCCTGCCTGTCTGTCTCTGCTCCTTGGAAGGGGCTGGGACCTGGGCTCTCACCCAAGTGGCTTGGCCTCGCTCTTGGTGCTAAGGCCCTCTGGCCTCCAGAGACTTTCCCGGCCCTCACAGCTATGGGGAACTCTGTCTGCTTGCCTGTAGAGATGCACCCCTCCTCCAGTGTCTCAAGGACCCGTGAACTGTTAGTGCTGATGGAAGCCTTGGTGGTGACCAGGTCCTTGCACTTCATAAGTACACACATGAACAGAGATTAATGGCAGAGCCACCAGGATGGCTTGGTTTTTAGTAAAATATCTTGTCACTAAACACCTATTTAAGGGGCCGGGGAGATGGCTCAGTGGAATAAGCACTTCCCTGGCAAGCGCAAGGGCCTGAGTTCAATCCCTGGTTCTCCAAAACACAAAACAAAACAAAACAAAACAAAACCCCCACCTATTTAAGAGTCCTTTCCCTTAACTATAAAACACAGAAAAGAATCTCACACCCATCACGTGCACATCTGAGAGGCCCCGTCAACCCTCCTCCTTTAGCCTGGTGCCCCCTGTGTGGCAGGGGCTTGAGGGTGGGTGGGGCATGCAACAGGGCAATGCCTTCCAGTGTGAGTGAGTGCAGCCTGGCTCTGCCCTCTGAGCTGCTCAGGCCAGCGGCCAGCTGTTTTGCCTGCCAACTTCCTTACTGCTCTGAGCTGCTGGCAGGCAGAGCTGAGTGAGTTTTCACCTGCTGGCTGCTTATCTGAGGCACATGATTGGTGGAGATGGGCCTTCCAGAAAGAGCGCTGCAGAGGAGGGGGGCAGCTCTGCCACAACAAGTCTGCTCCAGCCTCCCGCCTTGACCTTGACCATTCATTTAGAACAACAAGTACCTGTGCTTGGTGGCCACCAGGGCCAGGAGCAGGGAAGGCAGGGACACCTGCGGGACATGGCAGAGGGTACTTGTGAAGCCGGCTGCGCCTGGCTCAGGCCCCTAGCCCCTCAAATCATACCCGGTCCAGTTCTGGGGCTCCCCTTTCCCTCTCCCACCTTTTTTAAGCAACCTAATCTCTGGTCTGGAGAACATGGTAGGTTCCCATAGCAATGGTCCTTTTAGCTGTTTCCATGGCAACCAACACCCAGACCACTTCGTTGCTAGTCAACTGACAGCTGTAAGTGAATCGGTTTAGAAGCCAAGGGATTGGCCCAGGGATTCTCTGCAGAGAAAAAGAACCAACCACCCAAAGGACCCAACTCCTCTCAAGACTTTCGGGCAGGATCTGTGGAGGCACCGCACACATGCCAAACCTGCTGCAGCTGGCTAGCCCGAGCCTCTAAGTAAAGCACATCCCAGCCTCTAATCTGGTTCTGTCCCCTTCCGAGGGCCCTGGGCATCACTAGTTTAATGCGATTCGTAGCTGAACAACTTTCATACATGTAGCTCTCCCTTGCAGATGGTTTCAGGGTACCATGACTTTGTGCTTCTACCATCCCAGTTATTGGAGAGTAATTTGCTTTTTGGATTATAGTGGTTAATCCAGAATGATCCTAACTGCATTGACCTCATCTATTTTAAGCACCTCTCCTATGCCTGTGGGAGTCTCAGAGACCATTCTGCTTTATGAATCTTTGCAAAGCATAATCAGGATCACTCTGTTTCTTAAAAAAAAAAAAAAAAAAAAAAAAACTGGCTGAGATTACAAAATCAAGCATGTAGAATCTGAAATTACTCCATGCTCTTTGCCTTTTATTATCATGGAGCCCTCATGCTTAACTTTCCCCCAAACTGAAGATCTGAGGTGCTGTGTTCCTTTATTTTACAAGAGCTTCTCAATCTACTTAAAATTTTTTTATTAGTGCATGATTGCTATACATCACAGTTACATTTGTTTTGGGACACTGTACAAGTTTATAGCATATTTTTGTTTTGATTTATACCAATGGGAGTCTGACATCTGTCTGCCTTGGATTTGTGTAACAGTTGGGTCTCAGCCTCCAAGTCATGCAGAGGCATAGAAAAGTGATGTTGGAAACAGCGTGATCCTCCCTGTATGCCCAAGACTCAGCATCTCACCATTAATGACTGTGAACTTTCTATAGAAGACAACAATTCAAATTAATCCCCCCATGGGAAGGCCCGTGATGGCTGATGGCAGGGAGGTAGACAGCCCCAAGTAGGTAGGTCCCGCCCTTTTTTTTCCCCCCCAGTACCTGGGATTGAACTCAGGACCTTATGCTTGCCAGGCAAGCACTTATTCTACTGAGCCATCTCCCCAGCCCCACCTGCTTCTGTTCTGATGGAAGGCTACACAGTAGTTGTGCTGCCTTGCTCGGTCTTTTTTTTTTTTTTTTTAATTATTTATTTATTTTGTGTGTGTGTGGCCAGCTCAGCCCACCAGGGGGCGGGCTGGCTGGCATGTGGTGCTGGGGGATTGAACCGCGGTCCCTGTGCTTTGCTTAGCTTAGCTTGTTGTACATAGGTGCTTTAGACCACTGAGCCATCTCACCAGCCCCTTGCTTGGTCTTTTAACACAGGAGGGCAGAGGAGTGTGAAACGCAGGCTAGGTAGCTGTTAGCCCCGAAGGCTTTTTAAAATTTTTTTTTTTTTTTATGTAGAACAGGGTCAACAGGGTCTCACTACACAGATTGGATTCCTAGTGATCCTCCTGTTTTCAGCCTCCCAGCGCTGGGATTACGGGCGTGTGCCACATGCCCAATCTCAGTTACTGTCTCAGCACGCCCCACGGGCAGGGCCAGTACAGCATGCTGGGGATCGAACCCCAGTCCCTGCCTCTGCCTAAGCAGGTGCTTTAATCCACTGAGCTATCTGACCGGCCCAAGAATTTTAAAATGTGAAGACTCTTCTGTGATGAGGGAGTCCAGATACACAAAAGAAATGAGCTTTTCTAAGCCAAGAGTGGTGGCACACCCCTGTAATCCCAGCACTTGGGACGGTGAGGCAGGAGGATTGTTGTGAGTTGAGACAAGCTTGGGCTACAAAGTGAACCTACGAGGTCAGCCTGAAGGGCACAGTAAGACCCTGTCTCAAAGTCAAAAGAAAAGGGCTTTTCTAGACTCTCCGAAAGTTCCTGTGCACCGAAGATGGCCTTTTTTCCTTTTCGTGAGGTGTGTCTTATATGTAGTTTAGACTGGGTTCAAACTCACAGCATTCCTCCCGCCTCAGCCTCCTGGGTGCTGAGATTACAGGTGTGCCACCTTGCCCAGCTGTTAGCCCTTTTTCTGAGGCGCAGTACCACAAACCAGAGTGGACCTCCTGGTTTTTCTGCTATTTCTAGGTGAAGAGCAGCTTGTCTTGGAACAACAGCTGAAGATAAACAGAGTGCAGGCCACAGGTCATCGAAGCCTCTTACAGCCTCACTGCCTTCCACCCTCACCCCCCGCATCCTTCTAAAGCTGAAGCACAGGAGGAGTATTTTTATTTATTTGTGTACTTACTTACTTTTGATACCGGTGATCAAACTCAGTACCTCGTGCTTGTCACGGTGCACTTAGGCCCCTGCGCCGCCTCCTGGCCCTAAGAGGAGGTGACTTAAGGATCACACTGGGAGTCCAATATGTAGCCAAGAGCCAGGATGCAACTAAAGGCTGTTTGAAGTCAGAGATTACAGAAGTTCAGCACCTGTGGATCCCCCGATTCTGATGCGCCGAGGGTCTGCACGGGGAGAGGGGATGGCGGTCCCTCTAGACTGCACGCGACAAGTGCCATCAGCTGTAGTCCTGTTGAATGGCCGCAAAACTTGGCTGCAGAGAACCTCATTCCTGGCCCACTGCTGTCCCCTGGTGGTTTCCTAGGAAGCTCACAGGTCCAAGAAACCAAAGGTCTAGGGAAGCCAGTGGCTTGAAAGAACCAGACCACATCAGTTACTTGCTCCTGGTGTTTGCTGAACTCCACTTCATGGGAAGTGAGAAAAGTTTTTTCCTTCTACCTCAACCTAATGACACGACTTTCCCAGGTCTGGATTACTTAACTGGGTCGTGACTCGCGGGCCACCTAAAAGCCACAGTACGCAGATACAAGGCAGCCAGCTGTGTGTCCTGAGATTATACCCGTTACTCCGGGACCTAACTGGTATTACTGGGCTTGCCGCCACTTCCAGGCCTGGAGGCCTTTCTGGCCATGCTGACGGCTCCCAAACAATCGCTCAGCTGTACCCCTTCTGATGACACTACTCAGCTAGAGCACCTGCTTGCCGTTCAGGCCTGCTCAGTGGTATAGGGTTATGCACCATAAAGGAAAACAAGCTTATCTTGTTAAAAGACTAAGCAAAAAGGAAGAAAAGACAGTTTCTTCTTCTTTTTTTTTGGTGTTTTGGACACAAAGCCTCACTATGCAGCCCAGGCTGGCCTTGAACTTGAGGCCACCAACCTGCCTGCGCCTCCCGAGTGCTGAGGCGTATGCCACTCTGCCTGGGGAAATGGCAGCCCCTGAGAGTCAGGTCTTCTCTGGAGCCACAGAGCTGGGTGCCCTCCTCCATGGATCTAGGAAGCTTGTCCGAAAGAAGCAGGTAAGCACAGCCCAAACGCAGACAACTTTGCTTTTTCTTTATTTAAAGATTCAGATACAGCAAAAGATACAAGTTAATATTGTTAAAAAAAATCAAATTCTGCTAACCAAGCATTGTCTTTAATGAAAACTAGCAAAGACAGAACAAGAGACACGAGACAGCCACAGAAGAGCCAGCCAGCGGAGCGAAGTTCCTCTGTCCCACCTCTCTCCGCGGATCTCTGGGTGCACGGAGAGCAAGTCACTACTGCTGAAGCCACAGGGCTGAAGATGCTGTGTAGAGCCGGATGCACTACACTGTGAGGCACTTACAGCGGAGGGACCTGCAGGTGCAACAGCCCCAGCTGCAGAGGCGGCATGGAAGCCGCTCCCCACCGCGGGCGCCACTGCCCCAAAGCAAGCTGTCCGAGACCCCTGAGCCACTCGGCCTCGCCCCCAAGCACAAGCCATGAGGCAGTTATACCCACTCACGGTCCTACTTCCTGTCCTTGCTTTTAACTCCGCAAAGGATGCTACAAAGGCTACAGGTCTGAGCTCTCAAGAAAATGCGTCTTGGACGTTTCTGGACGTTGTGGGCATCAAACAGCAGCTCTGACTCTCCCCGCCTGCGGCACTGATTCAGCTTCAGGCCTGACTCCCCCCGTTCCCTCCCCCAGGCCCTCTTACCCGTGTGGACATAGCGGCATCACAACGTCTAGCCTTTGATCGCTACTGGGATTTCCCAGCAGAAGAGATTTTGGCTTTTGTCATCCAGAAGTGCCCATTTCACCACCAGTTTTATCTGGAGAAAAAGAATGGGGAAAAGTGAACTAGGATTGACCATAACCCACAATTGGCTTAATCGTGTTTCCCAATTATAATGAGCCACCAAATCCCTCACCCTTTTCTCCCTAAACCGTCATGAAGCCACCTTAGCATCTAGACCCTGTGGCCTCAAAGCAGAGCAAATCACTTGGGCAGCAAGCACAGAGACTGGGGTTCGATCCCTGGTACCACATGCCACGCTGGCCCTGCCCCCAGGCACACGGAGCCAGCCATGGAGACAGGGCATGGTGGGCACTGCTGTAATCCCAGCACTGGGGAGGCTGCAAACAGGAGGATCGCTACAAGTCTGAGCTGCACAGAGAGACCCTGTACAAAAACAAACAAAAAATAGTGAACCAAAAGGCTTTTCTTATGAGTTGGTGTTACTAATCTCATCAAGAATTTAGTCATGAGGGGCCGGGGAGATGGCTCAGTGGAATAAGTGCTTCCCTGGCAAGCACAAGGGTCTGAGTTCAATCCCTGGTTCCAGAAAAAAAAAAAGAATTTAGTCAATGCATCAAGTATTTCTAAAGCATTCTTCTCCTCTTTGATCAGTGGCATGTAAATAAAACCTTACTAGAATAATTTTACATTTAAATAATTTTGTGTGCATCTCACAACTGCTGGGATTACAGCACTGTTCACTCCTGTCTTTCATACTGGTTCACTCCAGTTCTGTCTGCTCACAGTGCTTGGCAGGAAAACGGGAGGCAGAAGAGGAACAGGTTAGAGGTGAAGGTAGAGCTTGGCAAAGCAAAGGGGAGAGAGCAGAGCGGAAGAGTCGCGTTTGCAGCGGTGCCTATCCCTACTGCTCTCCCCCTCGGCATCTGATAGACCAGGATTTCTGAGGATGACGCTACAGCAACCTGCATCTTCAACTATTTGGGACTCGCCTAGAGTCTTTTACACTGTCTAGGCTTTGGAGGTAGAAGACCTAGCTCTAAATCTACGCTGCCAGGTTCCTTTGTGGTGTGAACTCTGAGGCTCAATTTCTTCACCTGTAAGACAAGAGAGTACGGCCTCGGCGCAGGCAGCCGTGAGGCTCAAGCCCCTCAAGCCTCGTGCGGTGTGCACAAGTGGCATCACTAGGCTCCCAGCTAAACACCAGGCTACGGTGTAAGGACGAAGCACAGGACAGATACTACCTGCCCGGCTGCCAGATTCCTAACAGTCCCCCTCATCGCTTCCTTCCCGACAGCTGCTTAGCACCACAGAGATGAGGGCCCTTTTGCCCCTTCTTTGCTTTCTGCTCCTTGCCTCAGACTTCTAACCCAGCCCCAGGCCGCAGACGTCCTCCACAGCAGTGGCTCTTACATCAGGGTATTCACCCTTCACGGGCAGCTTATTCAGGTAGCTATAGGTCTTGTCTCTTTGGATGGGACAGCTGATTCCACTCTTACAACCGTCGGGCTCGGGAATGGGAAAGGGGATGGCGACGGAGAGCACGATGCCATGCACCACAGCCGTGCTATTTGTAGACTGAGTATCTACAAGAAGAAAGAGAATTGGGCAAGGAAGGAGTGTGCTTATAAATTCTAAATTAAATTTTCAGATTTATTCTCAAACAGCCTGGTTACTAGAAAGTCCGGAAGCATCGCCGCCTCCCCGGTGCCGTCGCCGCAGTCGTGTGAGGCTCAGCACGGTGCAAGCCCCACCAGGCAGAAGCTGCTTCCCCCCATCCACCCTGCCCCCACGCCTTCCGCTTCTCAGGAGAATCCGAGCTCCCTGGACGAATAACCTTATGCGGTGAGGCAACTGACTTTTGACGGCAAACTCTCTATTTGCTATTTATACAGGCTTCTATTAAAGTGTATCGTGTGCTTTAAATACCAGGTTCTGTGATGACACTGAGAGAGGGAACATTTCAGACACCTGGATAAGATTAAAAACAGGTACATTTCTCGGAAACCTCTAACCTCCACATCACAAGCTGGGCAGGAGGCAAAAAGCACCATGGAATTAGGGCCACCAGACCCAGGCGCTGACAGGGCATTCTGGAGGTGCAGGGCTTTTTTGTTCCTGCCTGTCTGGGGATGACTTCCGTTTAGAGAGCTCGTCCCCCCAGCTTGGCCAGGGGTACACAGCCCATGCCTCTCACTGGAGGCCTGGATTCAAACTCCAGCATGTCAGCGGCAAGTGGAGGGGAGAAAGAAAAAAGAAAGCATATACCTCCAGGTTACAGGCCGGGAGAAAAGCCAGGGAGCTCAGAGCTATAAAAGGACTTCAGCCTTCTGAACAAGACAGGGTAAGAACTGGGAGGGTCAGCAACAGAGTAGCTAGTTCCACAGGATGGAAAACTAGGAGATGACTGAGGTAGACATTCTGTCCAGAGATTAAAAAAAAAAAAAGACATTTATCTCAACTCTTGGGAATCTAGAGGCGATGGACGAAGTATAAGAGAACACTAAGCTTCAGCACTAAGTCTTCATGTAAAGAACACAACTCAGGTTTTTTGGCTGTTTCTTGGGTCCCGGGTGAGTTCCCTAACTCTCACAGGGCCTGTAAAATATGAAGTGCACCTGTTGAATGGTAGATTTCTTAAAATAACACTTTTTCCCCTGGGTTTTTTTTTTTTTTTTTTTTTTTTTTTTTTTTTTTTTGTGGCCAGCTCAGCCCACTCGGGGCAGGACTGCAGTGGCATGTGGTGCTGGGGATTGAACTGTGGTCCCTGCGCTTTGCCTAAGCAGGTACTTTAGACCACTGAGCTATCTCTCCAGCACTTCCCCTGGGTTTTTGAGGCAGGGTCTTACTGTGTAATTCAGCTGACTTTGAGCGCACTATGTAGCCCAGGATGGTCTCAAACTTGTGGTGATCCTCCTGCCTCAGCCTCGAAGTGCATGTGTCAGGATGCTCGGCAGAAATGACATTTTAGAGGAGTTTCAAAGCTTACAGAATCGGGGGCTAGGGAGATAGTTCAGTGGAATAAGTGCTTGCCTGGCAAACACAAGGTCCTGTGTTTGATCCCTGGTATCACCAAAAAATAAGTAAATAAAATTTTTAAAAACTCATTAAAAAAAACCCCAACAACGAAGCTTACGGAACCGGGTCTACAGCCATACCACCCTGAACACACCTGGTCTGGTCTGACCCTGGAAGCTAAGCAGGTAGGGCCTGCTGTGCAACAGGAGCCAAGACAGGAGAGAGACAAGACAACCCTAGGCGGGAAATCCCTCAGTGGAAGCCCATCTGACCATGGATCTGGAGAAGGGGGCGTGGGGACCCAGGGAGCAAAGCGTGGCTGAGGCATGGGGAACGCTGGAGGCCAGAGGGCCCGACCGCCACCTTCTCGGCGCGCACAGCCCCTCGGACCTCTCAACAGTTGATGCTCACGTTCTGCTTTCCTACAAATCTCAGGGCAAAAGCCATGTGTACTCACTGCTGGTAAAGGTCACATTGACACTGTAGGTCTGTCCTTTGTTCAGTTCACACGGTTGGGTGGGACACGGGCTCACATTCACCTCCTTTATAACTCCAACCTGAGATCCTAAAAAAATAAAAGGCATTGGACTAGGAGGAAGGGCAGACCAGGGAGGCCGTCCACTGCCTCTGGGCCGGTGCGCCCCTCTCCTTTTGGAGTGCATTCATTCACTTCTGCTTCTCTGTGACGGACCTTCAGGACAGTGTGCAATTCAAGGAAGAATGTGGCAGCGAGGTGGTGGCACACACCTGTAATCCCAGCACTCGGGAGGCTGAGGCAGGAGGGTTGCAAGTTTGAGGCAATCTACACAGTGAGTTCCAGGCTACCCTGAACTACAGAGAAAACACTCAAACAAATCAACACAAAATGAGAATCTTGGTTTGCCTTATTCCAAAAATCATAACCTATAAATTAGACCAAATGGATGTGGTTCATTTCCTGATGAAGACGAAGTTAGTATTTGTCAGATATCCAGAGACCATGTGCAAAAGATTAAAGGGATTAAATTATAACCCAAGAAGGGTCCGGGAGATGGCTCAGTGGAATAAGCACTTCCCTGGCAAGCGCAAGGGCCTGAGTTTAATACCTGGTCCTGAAAAAAAAAATATCTATATCTATATCTATATCTATATCTATAGATATCTACACCTATATCTATATCCCAAGAAACTCAGAAGGGGCCTAGATGTTTAAAAGTTTTATTTGTATTAGTGCATGTTTGTAGTACACAACGATTACATTCGTCATGGGGGGTTGGGACATTTATATACTATCTCTTATTTCTTACTTCCTTTTTTGCTCCCTGCTCCTAGATTGTTCTTTTTTAAAATTCTTGTGGCAGTCTCACTTGTACTTCAGGCCAATCCTGCACTCACTAGTGAGGCAGCCTAGGCTGGCTTTGAACTTGCAGTGATTCTCCTGCCTCAGCTTCCCAAGTGCTGGGATTATAGGCATGCACAACCAAACCTGGCTGCTCTAGAATCTTGTATTGCATTCCCTCCTTTTTTTTTTTTTGTACTTTAGGGAAGGGTCTACAAGGTGTACAGGGTCTCACTAATAGATCGGACTCATAGTGATCTGCCTATTTACAGCCTCCCAAGAGCTGGGATTACAGACACATGCCACCACGCCCAGTCACCTCCATGCACAGTCTCTCAGCGCACCCAGGGGGCAGGGCAGGCCCCAGCCCCTGGGCCTCTCGCAGGAGCTTTAGTCTGCTGAGCTATTTGGCCGGTCACTGTATTGCATTCCTAATGCTAGAGGTCATGGTTTAAACTCAAACCTTGAACATGTTGTCATCAGCCAGGTGGCTCGCACCTGTAATCCCACTACTTGGGAGGCTGCGGCAGAAGGATCTTTCTGAGTTCAAGACCAGCTTATACTACAAAGTGAGCTCAAGGCCAGCCTCAACTGCATAGAGAGACTGTGTCAAAAAGATAAGAAAAAAAAAGATGAGTGTAATTATCAAGCATTGAAAACATGTACTAGTTAAAATAAAGAATAAGAAAACTCAGTAAGAAAAAAAAAAAAAGATAAAAAGACCGGAAAAAGAAAGAAAGAGGGCTGGTGAGATGGCTCAGTGGTCTAAAGCACCTACTTAGAACAAGCTAAGCTCAGCAAAGCACAGGGACTGCGGTTCAATCCCCCAGCACCACATGCCAGCCAGCCCTGCCCCCTGGTGGGCTGAGCTGGCCACACACAGACATTAAATAAATAAATATATTGAAAAAAAAAGAAAAAAAGAAAAGAAAGAAAGAAAATGCTGGCCTCAATCTTCTTCTGAATGTCTTGTTAAAATATTCTTGTGGAGCCGGGGAGATGGTTCAGTGGAATAAGCACTTGCCTGGCAAGCACAAGGACCTGAGTTCAATCCCTGGTTCTGAAAAAAAAAAAAAAAAAAGGAGAAAAAAAAAAAAAAAAAAAAAAAAAAAAAAAAAAAAAAAAATTCTTGTTTTCCATTTCATTTTCTACCAGAGATGAACATGAAAATCTTAACTGCAAGCTGTATGCTGGGGGCTGGGATGAGTGCATGGGCGTTTTATGCAAAAACAGCTGGCAGGCAACCCTGGTGGCCCAACTGCACCAAGGAAGACAGAGAGCAGGGCCCATCTTTCTACCTCTGCAACAGCAAAGGCTGCCTTAGGGAGTTTGGAGCTTGTGGGAAAGTCTGACAGAACCTAAAATAGAAACCCCCTTACAGTTTTGCTCCCCTCTCCCAGTCTCAGCCCCCACCTCACTCATGTTTAGGCCCTAAGGAAGCTGTACTTTGGGAGCAAAGAAGAAGGGGAGCTGAAGCACTTGATCCTTTTTTTTTGGCAGCACCAGGGATTGAACTCAGGCCCTTGCACTTGCCAGGGAAGCGCTTATTCCACTGAGCCATCTCCCCGGCCCCTTGAAGCACTTGAGAAGATCAAAAACCCTACAATCTACCCTCTTTATTTTAGAGGTTAGAAAACAAAAGCATTAAGACTATCACGACTTCAGAATCAAAGAAAACAATCCTAACATTAATTTGGAGCCAAAAAAGACCTAGACTAGCAAAAGTAATTCTGGGCACCAAAGGCAAGAAGGGGCGTCACCATGCTTGACTGGCAATCATACTACGAAGCTATCACAATGCGCATGGCATGGCACTGGCAAAAGACAGATTCAAGGACAGCTGGCACAGGCTCGGAGATGCAGAAACAACTCCAGACAGCTTAGCCCCCTTTCTCTGACAAAAAAGCCAAAAATCTTTACTGAAAGAAAGCCTGTTTAATAAATGGTGCTGGAAAAACTTGCTTTCCACATGCTGAAGATTAAAACTAGATCCACATCTTTTACCATGCACTAAACAAAAATTGAAATGGATCAAAGATCTATATATTAAGACAGAAACGATTTACTGGAAGACAAAATAGGTAGAACCTTGAAGACATAGGTGTAGGCAGACTTGATGAATAAAACCCCAGTAACATAGGAACTTTTTTCTTTTTGACATAACCGGGGATTGAACTCAGGCCTTTGTGCTTGCCAGGCAAGCGCTTATTCCACTGAGCCATCTCCCCCGCCCAACATAGAACTATTACAAAGCATCAACAACTGGGATCTCATCTTCTTATAAAGCTTTTACACAGCAAAAGAAACCACCAATAAAGGGTAAAGACCACCTAATTTTTTTTTTTTTGTGGAGCTGGGGGTTGAACTCAGACTCTTGTGCTTGCCAGGGAAGTGCTTATTCTACTGAGCCATCTCCCTGGCCCCCTTCCTAAAAATTTTAAAACAAAAATTACTGTGCCTTTTTCATGTTTTGGAACAGGCAGATCTAAAACTCAATGTTTAATGTGGAAATTACTTTTGCCAGGTGTAGCTCCGATAAAGCACTAATACATAGAATATTTAAAGAACTCAAAAAAATCAGACCCTCCAGATTTACAGACTCATTCCAAAAGTGGGCCTCTGAAATGAACAGACACTTCTCAGGTGAAATAGAAATAGCAAATAAATACATAGCAAAAATGTTTAATGGCACTGGTCATTCAAGAGATGCAGGGCCGGGGAGATGGCTCAGTAGAATAAGCGCTTGATATCGCTTCTCGGCCTTTTGGCTAAGATCAAGTGTAGAATAAGCACTTGACTGGCAAGTGCAAGGCCTGAGTTCAATAAAGAGAGAGAGAGAGAGAGAGAGAGAGAGAGAGAGAGAGAGAGAGAGAGAGAGAGAGAGAGAGACAAACTAAAATAGTGCTGAGATTCCATCTCACCCCAGAAAAAATGGCTATGATCAAGAAATCAACCAATAACAAGTGCTGGTGGGATCGTGGGCAAAAAGGAACCCTTTTCTACTGTTGGTGGGAGTGTAGCCCGGCGCGACCACCATGAAAATCAGTGTGGAGACTCCTCAAAAAGCTAAAACTAAAGGTCCCATTCAATCCAGCTTTTTCCTTCTTAGTATTTTCCCAAAAGAATTAAAAGCATCATACCCAAGCAATATATGCACACATGTTCACAGCAGCAGCCTGCAGTTGCTAAATCTTGGAAACTGCCCACACGCTCATCAACCAAAGAGTAGGCTTGAGACGCTTCTAGCTGAATGGACGCACCTTGAGAACACACTCTCGGGTGAAATACAGACACACATGTATAAATACTGCAATTATATCCTTGGTGTGAGACACCAAAAGTGTCAATAAGGATGTGTGACACGTACTGTGAAATAGGAAGAAAATGTTCAAAGGGAAGGGGAACTAGGGAGGAGAAATGGGAAAAGAAAGGAAGGGGAAGTGGGGCCGGGGAGAGAGCTCAGTAAAGCTCTGGCAAGTGCAGGGCCCTGAGTTTGATCCCCACGTACCACCACAAAAAAAAGGGGGGGAATTAGAAAAGGAAAAACTGGAAACAAAGATTTTGTAAATGAGGGAGAGGCTGAAAGGAAGACAGGGGTATGGGAAAAAAGTAGCAAGCTATATCACGCACAGGTACAAAGTCCCTATGATGAATGTGATCGCTGTATATACCTAAAATGTACTGATAACAATTTTGGGATTTTTTTTTCTTTTTTTTGCTCCGAATGCCTTCAGGACGGGTTTGGCTGGCTTGAGTTGTGGGGATCAAACCGCAGCAACCTGAGCCGGACTGCTTTGTTGAAGCAGCCACTTAAAGAACTGAGCTAAGGGGCAGGCCCCCTAAAAATTTTAAAATAAAAAAAAAAAATTACTGTGACTTTTCCATGTTTTGGAAAAGGCAGATCTAAGACTCAAGGAATTGGCCTCACTTGGCCTCCCCTTCTTCCCCCTCTAGGACAGGTGACGCAACAGAGCCAGCTCTCAGGGAAGCGTCTGGAGCACCGGCGGCGTGCGGTCGTCCTTATCACCGCCCTGAGACGCAGCCCATGAGTTTTAACCTGGAGCAGCTGCTCTAGGACGGCCAGCAAGTCCCCTTGTAACACCAAGGCTGAGCTGCTTTCTCTGCAAGACTTCACCGACAGTGACTCTATTTGTCCCTAGTAATATGCACTCCATCTCCAAAGCAGAATGCATGAAGGCAGCAGGCGGAGGGTACAGAGTGTGCTGTGCAGCCACTGATTAGCTCCACACTGTGAAAGCACAATGGGAACAGAGCCGCCCATGCAGAGCACCTCGTCCATTCGGCCTGTTCCTGCCCTTAGGCTCAAGAGTCCCTCAGAACCACTTCTACCATCGCGTGACCAACTGCCCCACCTTGGTCTGTACAGGACAGTCTAGTCTCCTGCCCTCTGGCTTTCTCCCCACAGCAAAAGTTCACCAGCTCTCACTCTCACCTGTCCCATCTTCCCCAAATATTATGAAGCTGTTGAAAATCATTGCTAAAAAAAAAAAATCCTTTTCAATTTGGGCTGGCCAAATAGCTCAGCGGATTAAAGTGCTTGCTTAGGCAGATGCAGGGGCCAGGAGTTTGATCCTGGGGCCTGCCCCCAGGGTGCACCTGTAATCCCAGCACTTGGGAGGCTGTAAATAGGAGGTACGAGTATGATCTCTGCAGTGAGACCCTGTAGATCCTGTAGACCTTGTCCTAAAATGAAAAAAAAGAAAAAAAAAAAAAAAAGAAAATCATTGCTTACATCATGCGTCCAGCTTCTATCTGCTTATTTAAAGGCTGTGTAGTGCTTACAGCTTTTTCAATTTTTTTTTTTTCCCCCTAACAAGAGGTTCCTGGACTTCAGTACAACAAAGCCCTCTGCTCTAACCTGCAAACACTGCAAAACTAAAGTTGGCCTGGTCCCTCTCATTTCTCACTTGAGAAATCCCACTCTGAAGAAAGTGGGTTTAGAGTGGACTGTAAAATCTTTTGATGTGGGTGCACAAGTTTTTACATTGTATTTCTCAATTCAAAAATAAACGGGAGAGTCTAGTGTGGTGGCCCATTCCTGTAATCCCAGCACTTGGGAGGCTGAGCCAGGATGATCACTTCAAGTTTGAGGCCAGTTTGGGCTACATAGTGAGTTCAAGAACTATATATAAAAAACAACAACAAAAAAGACCCAAAAATGTAAATTGAAAATCTATGATAGGAATTCTTCAAAAAGGTCATTCCATAGGTTGTATTCTGTTCTTTTTGCCCCCAAATAGAAAAAGTTACAATTTCAGTTTTCCCCCCTTCCCTCCCTCTCTGCCTCCCTCCCTCCCTCCTCTTCTCCCTCTCTGCCGGCCCTTGCTTTCCTTTCCTTTCTCCTTTCCTTCACAAAGACCCACCAGTTTCCTGCTGCTCATGAGCAGTGAGATCTTGGGCAAGTTACTCTGTGTGCCTTTGCTTCTGCTTCTGTAAAAGGCGGAAGACTGAATGAGTTAATAAAGTTAACAGTGTTGTCTTCCAAACGCTGGCCCCTAGGTTTAGCGGAGGGTGAGGCGGTAGGCAGACACACAGATGCCTCTTTCCAGCTCTGGTCTCCTGCCTCAAGGAAACAGCATCTCTTAAGCATTAACAGGCCAGAGGTCTTTGCTCTTCAGTCATTCCGATCCCCCTCTCCCCAACCTGGATTTTTTTTTTTTTTTTTTTGTCTTTTTGAGGCAGAGTTTCACTATCCAGCTCAGGCTGGCCTTCAAATGATCCTCCTGCCTCAGCCTCCCAAGTGCTGAGATTACAGGCATGCACCACCGCGCCCAGCTTCCAACCTCGTCTTGGTTACTTTGCTATGTGACTTTAGGCAGGTTAATGATTCTGGAAATCAACGACTGACTAGCTGACTTTCATGTTTCCTTTTGGCTCAGGTATTTTTACAACATCAGTATCATTGCACCTTTCCACCTCCAACACAACTGTACAGTTCTGCTCCAACAATTAATTCTACAGACTTGACTGACTGAACTCAGAATTTCTATGCCTGCTGCCTTTCTTGCTTGTTTTGAGAAAAGGTCTCACTATGTAGCTCTGGCTAGCCTAGAACCCACCGCCATCCTCCTGCCCCAGCCTCCTGAGTGCTGGGATTACAGGCGTTCGCCACCATGTCCGGCTGCTTGTCGCATTTTCCGACAAAGATTCCAACCACAGCGTTGAGAGGGGCTGATGCGTCACAAGACATGGTCAGACACATGAGCTTTACAGGGGGAGAGCTAGGAATCTGACTGATCCAGCAAACTGACCCCAAACTCCTGTCTAAAGGAAGATACTCTGTAACACAATAAATCATGAAAACAGGAATTGAATTCCGACTTGTCAGCAAAAGGGAAACTAAGAAAGGCGGAGGGATCGGGGGCGCGGGTGGGGAGCGGGCGGGCTAACCCCAGAAAGGCGGGCGTAAGAATCTCAACTCCAGCGCCGGGTTGAGACGCCTGCCCTTCGAACTTTAGACAACTTCGGCAAGAGGTCCACTTCAGGGGCGACCAGGGACCCCCAAAGCACTCGCTGCCAGCAAAGAGCCACAGCTGTGTGCCGCCGCGTTTCCTCGAGGCTGGTCCCTTCGGCCCCCGCCAGCCCACCCGCTCCGGGGAACGCGCGCCGCGACGGCCCGGGCTTCCGGGAGCGCGCGGCCGGGGCTCACCGCAGTCCTTGTACTGCACGCGCTCGGCCCGGCCGGCGGAGACGCACACCAGGAGCAGGAGGGCGGCGGCCAGGAGACCCATGGCGCACGGCGAGGACCCCGGCTCCAGGAAAGAAGCGGCGGCCGCGGTCACAAGATAAAGTTGTAGGGGCTGGCCCGGGGAGGAGCCCAGTCGGGCCACCGGTCCCCAGCGAACACCACGGAGGCCCGCCCCGGCCCGCCCCCGGCCCCGAGCCCGCCCCGAGCCCGCTCGCGGTCTCCGCCCATCGGCCAATCCGCGGCTAGGCGGGCGAACTCGTAGCCCCGCCCCGACGCGGCTGCATTGGCGCGCCTAACTTCCGCCGGGGGCAGCTCTGACCAATCAAGCCCCGGTTTGCCCTGAACTGACCAATAGACATGCATGAGGGGCGGGTCTCCTTGAGGTCCCGCCCACAGACTTCCCCCTTTTCCTCCGAGTCCCGGCTGAGGCAGGAATGAGGGAGCTGCGCGGGGCGGGGTTTGTGGGGCAAGATGGCGGCCGCGCGGGCTCCGTCCCTAACGGCATTGGTGCTGAGAGCGCTCGTTCCCTGGCGGAGGGGCAGGTGCCGAACACTTGTAACTTGCTCTCAGCAGAGATGGGAGGGGAGGGCCTGGCGCGAGACAGTCAGGCGGAGTATCGGTGTGCGGGACGCCGTCGCGTTAGGGTCTCCGGCTGCCCCTTCTCCCGAACCCATCTTTCCTCCTTGTGCGACAGGGTCCTCGAGGCGTCAGCGGAGCGGCAGGCGCGTCGGGGAGCGTCGTCCTCCAGTCCCGAGGCTGGCGAGGGGCAGATCCGCCTCACGGACAGCTGCGTCCAGGTAGGCGGACGCGGGGCCCCCGTCGCGCGCGCCTCGCGCTTCGCAGCTCCTCATCGGCTTTCTGCTTTTCAGAGGCTTCTGGAAATCACCGAAGGGTCAGAGTTCCTCCGGCTGCAGGTGGAGGGAGGTGGATGCTCCGGGTTCCAGTACAAATTTTCCCTGGATACCGTTATCCACCCGGACGACAGGCAAGGAGGATGGGGTGGGCCTCGGGGAGGGGTGGGCGCGCCTCCAGTTCGGCGCGGACTGCTGCGGCAGATCCAGAGACGAGCTAAAAATAGCGTCCATCGCACGCCGAGAAGTGGCCGCTGCCTAGGTCGCGGCAAAGACGGGAGAGAGCCCCGCTGGACTAGAGTGAAAAGCCTGAGTTCTTAAACTTGTTTTTCAGTATTCAGTCCATTGATCCTAAGGAGAAAATCCGCGCCTCTTAGCGGTAACAAGGAGTGTTTGCCCTGTACTTCAGAAGCGAGAGCGGCTGCGCCCCTGGCCTGGGCCGGCTTTGGTGTCCGCCGCGTTCACTGCTGTCTCCTCCTGTCTTTGCAGGGTATTTGAACAGGGTGGGGCGAGAGTGGTGGTTGACTCTGATAGCCTGGCCTTCGTGAAAGGCGCCCAGGTGGACTTCAGCCGAGAGCTGATCCGAAGCTCGTTCCAGGTGTTGAACAATCCTCAAGCGCAACAAGGCTGCTCCTGTGGGTCATCCTTCTCTATCAAACTCTGACAAGATGACAGGGCACCCTGAGATTGTCAGCCGCTGCACTAAGCTGAGAAACCCAGGGTTAGTAGAATTCTAGAAGTTTCTAATCATATCCTTCTCTCAGTGTTATTTTCCTTAATTTAAGAGTGTGTGAAGCTTTCACACTTGGCCAGAATCACCTTCCTCCATCTGCCCTCCATATGATGCTAAGGCCAAGCTTCCAAATGTTGTTACCTCGGGTTTAATTACTGGTTGAAACCCAATACAGTCAGGCGTGGTGGCACACACTTGTAATCCTAACACTTGGGAGGCTGAGGCAGGAAGATTGTTGCTAGTTCAAGGCCAGCCTGTGCTACATGGTGAGTATAGGACCAGCCTAAACTACATAGCAAGACAGTATCTGGAAAACAAAAAGACCTAATATTATGTACAGAGCCTCAAAGCCTCCAGATTTGGAGTGACTTCTTCGGCCTTCAGAATTGCTTGTACATATTTGTATAATGATATATAAAAACCTCATTTTAAAAAAGGTTCTTACTGTTTTTTAAGTCACAATCACAAATTAGTTAGGTTGAGCGTGGTTCGAAGGCCCGAACAGATGAAAAAGACAAATGAAATGTAGTCTTACGTTTTACACATCTTGAGTGTGTTACTGACTTTCCTGTTTTCTAACCGCTTGGTAGGCAGATACCATACTTAGCGTACTTGTCAGTCTGTAGGACTCATGAAACCAGGAGCCTATCCACCAGAAGTCTTGGACCAAACCCCTGCTGATACCTGAATTACTTGAAAAATAGCTTCTCTGTGCCCAGGATATGTTGCTTCACCCATCTTGTGGAAAGTGCTTTGGTCTTACCCAGAGCAGGAAGTAGTTGCTTCACTATTGTAGATAATAGGTAATGATCTCTTGGGTTACCGGATGAAATGCGGGATGCCAAGTTATATTTGAATTTCAGAAAAGCAGTCACCTTTTCAGTGTGTTTTTAAAAAAATCTAATATATATTATGTCTCATCACAACTGGGTTGATTCTGGAAGTTATTTGATAAGTCCATCTTTTCCTTGGGACCCTAAAAGTTTGTTATAGCAAAAATGTGCTGAACTGGGTAAGAATTAAAGTTATTTAGTAAGAAAACTTGCCATTAAAAAAAAAATGGAAATGTGAGAAAACCTAGACCTCCTGGCATGATGGTACACCTGCAGTCTCAGTGCTCAAGAGACTGAAGCGGGCTGGCCTCACATTTGAGGCCAGACTGAACTACATAGTGAGGTCCTGTCTCAAAAGAAGAGCTTGAATTTAGTGGAAACAACCCCATCATGTAGTTGAAGCAGATTCTTTATTTTTTGTTTTGGTACTGGGAATTAAACTCAGAACCTCTTGCTTGCCAGGCAGGCACTGTGCCCCTGAGATATAGCCCCAGTCTGCAGTATTTTTTATTAAAAATTAGTTCTTTCATTACTAACCAATCCTGGTTTTTAATACAGGTAGTCCCCCTTATCCAAAATAGTGGGACCACCCAGATGCAGAGACGCTCGCCTTCTAATCCCAGCACTCAAGAGGCTGCGGCAGGAGCACTGCCGCCAGTGTGAGGCCAGCCGGGGCCACTATGCAGTGGGTGGAGGGCACCCCATCTCAGCAACACAAGTTGGGCCCCTAAGTACTTCGGATGTGCATACACGTATGTGATATGCTGGGCATGGAACTGCAGTCTAAGCAGGAAATTCATTTACATTCCCGAAGGCGGTGGGACGCAGTGATCCTCATCACGTTCATGAGCCATGGTTGCGTGGCGTATTTTCCACTCAAGCCATCACATTGGTGCTCCAAGTTTAGGATTTTAGAGCATTTTGGATTTTGGGTTAGGGATGTTAAGTCTACTATGCCTTGGCAAGGTAGAAATGTGATTTTTTTTGGTGCTGGTGATTGAACTCAGGTCCTGCCACTGA